CCACTACTGTAATTGACAGCTGGGTTCTGGATCAGGTTTCTAGTTCAGTGGGTGTGCCAGGGTTTTTGGTATGTTACAAGTCTACAATTACTTCTAGGCTTTCTCTATTGGGATGTGAAATTATTTTTTAGAATATTTGCTGATGTCCTCATCCTCTTTTCACCTCCTTAATATTCACGATGCCTTCTTTTCTTAAAAGTTTGTGCATTTAGTTAGATAATAGCAATTCATTTCTGTACAACACGTGAGAGAAAGGAACAGACTTGAACTGACAAGGAGAACACTTCTGATGAGCTCTGTAGTCTCTGTTCCCATCTCCAGCTGAAGAGCTGCACTGTTACCTGAAATCAGTGATCAAAAAGATGATTTTTTACACAGAATACTAAGCAATGTGAATTCTTGAACATGGGTAAATATGCAAGGCAGCTGTAGATGAGACATGATGTCCCTCACCCCTGTCAGCTGTTACCTGTTTTTCTTTCCAGAGCAATGGCATCTTCGGGCTCTCGTGACCAGTTTTTACGGCAGATGGAGCAGATTGTAGAAGGCATCAAACAGAATCGAATGAAGGTCTGAGACTCTTCTCACTTTCTTTGCTAAAACCTGAGAATTATTTCAGTAAAGCCTCTTGGATAATAACTGGGCATGGAGAAATCTGTTATGTGAGGTGCAAATTAAGTAAGCAACAAAAAGTATCATTTCACATCCATAAGAAACTTCTCACCACAAAAATGTTAATGAACAGAGTAGCACAGAGCTGTTACAACACTTCTCTCCTGACAGGAAACCTACACCTCTTAACTTCATTGCTGGCAGTGTAGTGATTCAGGTGCTTGAAGCAGCTGTATGTCTGAGAAATCAGTCAATGAGAAATCTTCTCTTGGATCACGTGTGCACAGTCAGACCTGTGTCTTGGGCATGGCCTCTCAGTCAGCTGGAGCTGACTGAAGATGCTTTCTGCTGCTGAAGAGGGTCAGCAGCACCTCATGGAGGCCTGACCATCAGCTTCCTGTGTCTCAGTTGCAGCGCTCATATCGTACCTTGTTGAATCCACCCAGATGGGTTTTTTAATTTTTTTTTTTTTTTTCATTTAACCTGATTTAGAAAAGGTTCAGCATTGCTGATGAGTCTGTTGCATCCACAGAGCAAGTGAAAGGGGTCTGTGGGTGAGCAGAGCCTCAGTGCTGGTTCAGAGAAGACAAAACTGTTTCTGGTAACTTATTGGGGCTATTTTGTAAAAGCACAGCCTCAGGGGACTTGTGGTAATTGGTCTTGGGGCAATGCAAGCATGAGGTGCAGCAACGTTCCACATAAAGCTGTCCACAGGCATATTTGCATACAACAGGTTGGCTTAAGTACTTCTTGATAATGGTAGTTACTAACTTGTAGTTATTGTGTTGTTTCACTCTTATTTTCATATGAGAACATGTTCATATTTTCCAAGGTCCCATAAAGGGGCTCTGAGGCTTTTTTCTCTATAAAGCCAGGAAATTCTTGGTAGTGAGTTATAGTAGTGAGTATATTATTACAGCTGTTCTTCATTTGGGTTTAAATGGAAGTATGATAGACTATGAATCAATTACATACACAGAAGTGGGGAACTGCACAGCAAATGCAAGGAGTGAAAGCAGATTAAGAGCTCTGCTGTGACTTACTTCAGGTCCTTGCAATTGAACTCTTAAATCTTTGAAGTCCGTAAAATCATTCTGGACTCTTTTACTATGGTCTCAGATGGAATCAAAAGTTTCAGCTGCTTCATGTACAGATAAGGGAGAGGGAAGTGAATGGGAGCTATCGTGTCAGATGGCTCATTGTTTGGGGGGAAAATACAATTTCAGCATCTCTGATGGCTGCTGAAGGCAATGGCAGCTCACGTCACTTGTGCCATGTTCCTGCCTTGGCAGTCTGGCCCCTGGCACGTCGTGGGAGAGTTCACAAGTGACATTTCATTGCTAGGTGCAGGTGTCTGCATCAGCAGGACATTGCAACTAATGGACAAAACCAAATGTTTCTGAATAAAAAAGCTAAGCTTATCTTGATTGAGAGAGGAAGTTTTTAGTGATGGAGTAGATAATCTTTCTGTACCTTCTCATAGTTGATTTCTCAATGCCAGTGAAGCTACTGACAAGAAACGGATGCTAAGAAAGATTTTACAACTCATATAGTTCCTTTGGGAATAGCTCTGCAACCAAAGGGAAGGTTTTCATGTTCTCCTAGGAAGTGTCTGTTGGATGACTTTTTAAAACAGACAAGCTGGTTGTATGCTACAAGCATTATTCATCCCCGTGGTGGTTTAGTCTTACCTCTTGATTTCTGTCTGTGGCACATTGGAAGTGCTCACAGTCACAGCTCACTCTTAAAGTACATCCACTTTAATTGTTTTCTGTACAGCCCTGAAGACCTTATTATACCCAAAAAGAAATTCCAGTTTTCCAAGTCCATCATGTTGTACCTGCATCATAAAAAGTGGCCTAAGGAGAACTTGGACATACTTGTTACCAAGAATTGGATAACTTATGAAGAAGGATTTCAGTGTGATAACAGATGCTCATGAGACTTTCTGAGGACAGAGCAGGACAGAGGAGTATGTCGAGAGATTTGTTGTGGTCATGCATAGAGAAATCAGTTTATCAGAAGATAGTAATAGGGTCTTATCTCTTTACAGGGATCTAGTTCCTAGCAATGCCATTTAGCATCTCTTGTTCTTTCTGTTTACCAACAGATGGAAAAGAAGAAACAAGAAAACAAAATGCGAAGAGACCAGTTGAATGATGAATACTTGGAGCTTCTAGAGAAACAGAGGCTTTACTTTAAAACAGTGAAAGAATTTAAAGAGGTAAGAATGTTTTTGCCTATATAAACTGCCAGGTGTTCAGTGTCCCATTTTGGCTTGACTTGTGCTTTAATAGATGCACAGGATTTCCTGATATGCTGCTTATCACACCATGTTCATGATGTCTCTTGGTGATTATCTGCACAGGAGATGAGTCACATTCTTGGAGTCTGATTCTGGAAATTTTTTTCACTGCTAGACTAGCACCCCTCTGTTACAGGGGGATGACAATTTGCTATCAAGCAAGCTGTATATCTGGGGTTCCAAATGGAATCTCTTGAAGATCTATGAGCAGTTAGGTATTGGAGCAAAGAGGGTTGTGGATATGTGTGTAAGGGAGGGAATCCAATGTCTCAGTAGTTACAAATATCTGTTGGAACCAGCCTTGTTTCCTAACCAGTGTGGAAGCTCCATAATGCTTCACTGACTTAGCCTTTCCCAAGCTTTCCATCATAATGTGCTTTCTGTTAATTATTGTCTCCATGATAATAAATGACAAAGTAGTGCTGCAAGGCCAAATTGTCACTTGGCTTCAGATTTTTGAGGAACAACATCTTTCTGTAATTTGTCCTGCTTTGTTCTGACACAGTTCCTGCCCATTTCAGACAACGTACTCTGCAAGAGTGACAGGGACTGTTTCAGCTACTTTTTGCAGAAGTTAGGTGTAAATTTGTTCTGTGGAGGCATAGATATTCCATTTTTCTTCCACTGCCTTGTGAGAGAACTTCTACTCAGCCTTGCTATCCTTAAAAACAAATTGTCATGGTTGTGGTGTTGAAAGAAGGTGGTATGTACATATATATTTATTGACCTAGAGTTGTTCCCTGAACACTGACTTTTTTGCAGACTATCTTACAAAGTTCCAGATCACCCAAAAGTAACCTTCATTTTGGATTTATCAGATTTATAAGTAAAAAGGTGGGTTTGCTTTAGCTACTTGTACCAACTTTAGATGAATGCTCAAGCAGCAATGTTACCATTGGAATAACATGGATGAATGAGAATTGTTTTCAGCTCGTTACTCACTCCAGACTAGTGTGGATTTTGGAGATCTTTCAAAATAAAAGGGTTAGTTTTGCTGATGTGAAGATGTAACTAGCAGAGTTAAGAGCAACTGCCTCCTTAGCTGTTTGCTTTCCACTAACAGGAATGCAGGAAGAACGACAAGCTGAAAGCCAGTTCTTCCTGAAGAACTCCAGCTGCTGAAGTTCACAGATGATTGTTCAGTCCATTGAACCTCTTTTGTGAGGTGACAGTTACAACTGCAATGTAGATATATATATAGATACAGCTGTGTGTATACATTTATATATGTAAAAGTCTGGGGTTTTCCAGTATGTATTCAGTTTTACATCCTTTCATCACATGGCTGTATTACCCATTATTGCCTCCATGACACAGTAAAGAGTTCACACAGTACAGCAAAACAGAAATACTGTCTAATTTTATTTATTTGGGTTTAGTATGTTTTCCACAGTAAGGACAAAGGGGTTGTTTTTCACTTGGGTTTTAACACTGAATTAGGTCAAGATTTGGAGTAAGCAGAAACATACTGTGTAATAAGTCTAGTACCACAAGATGAACACTGCAGAATGCAGTGGTTTGTTAATTTTGGCCAAAAAAGCCCACAGAATGAGATTCTTGAAACTATCTTCACCAGCTAATAACTTCATATTATTTTAATTTACACTCTAGCCATAGATAAGATTCCAAAGGATAAAAATTAATTTCTAATGGTTAAGACATAAGAAAATGGAAGCTTACCTTGGATAATTCCTGGTGTAAAATTATAGGTCTATATTTTTATAAAGTCTAGCTGTTGTATAAATTTCTTTGAAATTTCCTTTTTATATATAGAGAGTGTGCTTATTAAATTAATAGCTCCAGGAAAAAAAAAAAAAAAAAACACCTTAATCACTAGGACCATCATGTTATCCCTGGCTGGGATGAAAATCAAAGTCATGTCACCTGTAATGTAGGAAGATAAAGGATCAGACATTCTGCTCAAATGAACTGATGCTCACCTTGAAGACGACAACCTCATGTACTGTGCTGAAGATTTGCCCTTGAAAGTTTAGAAACTTTGTGGAACACTTTCTGAAACATTTTTATATCTGTATATACAGTATTTTATAATTCAAACAGTTGCTTTTTGTACTTAACATCAGGATTTTGGACTGACCTCGAGAAGAAAGACTGCTCTCTTTTCCCAGTAACACTGATGACAGTGCTGTTCGGTTACTTTCTATGGCAGTGAATATAAAATAAAGAATGTTTGGAATCCAGTGACCTCCTCCTGTTGTGTTCTTAAGGTGGAACTTGCTTTAGAAGCCTTAATATGCTTTTGAATTACAGGTGCATTAAAAGATGAATTGTCTGTAGTCACTCATAAAGTTGTTTTCACGAGTCACGTAGCAGTTAGTAACATTTTGTTTTCTCTTGCTGCTTTGGGTACCCCTGGTGTCCTGTTTGACACAAACCATCACACCTGGTGTGCCCCAAGGAGACCCACGTGAGGTTGTATTTTCTTTCCATAAGCATCCACTTAAAGTACAGAATTCTCAGTGGAGATGGCAGAAGTTCTCACACCACAATACCCAATTCCACTCCTTTTGAATACAATGGAAGGTTTGATACTAGCATGTGAATTTATGCAGACTCTATGCCATTGAAAATGGAGAAGTTTGGGCATTTGTTAAGTCTTGCATAAGGGAAGTGTTGATGTTCTGTCCAGGTAAAATGCATTGAGCTACCAGAGCTGTGGCAGACTAGGTTCATTGTGATGTAACTTCCCATAATTAAGACTGTGCTTTTATGGCAACCTGAAACACTTGTTGCTTCAGTACAAAGAGAAAGAAATCTTTTCTACTGAGGCAGCTTCTGCCTTACTTACCCCACTAGTAACTGACTGAATATATATACAGGCTGCTCCTCTTGTATCTATTCCAGAAGTCAGTCTTCCTAGAGCTAGTCAAATAATGAAGGCACAATTACATTCTGAGTACCTTCAAAGACTTGTATTCAGAATTCCTTCAAAGAAGGAAATCTGCATTGAGTGCTAATTGAAGGCTTTCTGTAGTCAGCTTTGATGTTAGGAGACATTATGTCTACAAATTTTGCCCTGTGTAAAAACAATTCTCTTCCTTTCTAATATGTAAATTGAATAATTCGACTTTGGCCCCAAGACTAACCTGTTTGTGAATTCAAGCTGTGATTTTCATATCATGCAGGTCTAAACAACTTCAATGGATGTTTCAGTTTTGGTTTACAATTCTAATCAAAATTGCTTTAAGTATCAAGCAAAATTTCCAAGGTAGTGTAAGTAGTGAACTTACATAGAGAATAAATGATGTGATTATTTGTTCAGTATAACATTAAATGCTTACCTGTTAAAAACAGTTACTTGACACTTTGACACAGAATATAAAAACATTAGACTCACTGGTCAGGTTAGGAGCTAGTGATGCTGACTAGGATATACGTGTGGGGTTTGTGGAGGTCCAGTTATTGCTCATAGTAAATAAATCAGAGTCCAGATCATAACTTGTAACAAACCAATTTCTTTCTACAATAGATTGATCTCCAGGGTGGATGGACACTATCTTTGCTTTCAGCTCCTGGTGTGAAAATGAGAGGAAGGAAGCTGAAGAGGTATGGAGAAAGTTACCTCAGCTGTTCCTTGCTTTCTGTCTTAGGCTGTCTATGTTGGGAGTGCCATTTATTGTGATATCTGGGGAGGAATCAAAACAAAAAAGGTGCTTTTTCTAGCAGCCAACTTCATTCCTCCTCCTGCTTAACTTGGTGACTGTCAGGCTTCACCATTGATTGCACCAGGTTCTCCCCAGTTGGGTTTAGTGTGGAAGAATGTGAACACATCACACTGGCTACTCATAGGAAGGTGATTTTTGTGAACCATAGCCAGGATGCTTTGACACTATAAATGTGATAATCCTGCTAAACAGAAAAAACAATTTTGGCTTTCAGTAAAATGATGACAGCTACTTGTCAAAGTAAAGGGCAGGTGGTAACTTTTAAGTGGGGTATTCAAAGAAAGGAGGGCAGTGCTTTAAGGTGATTATTCTCCGTTAAGTCAATACACTTCAATATGTACCATTTTTTTTTTTTTGCTGCAGGTTTAAGGTCCTTTTGCATAATTATTATTTTTTAATCTACAGCTATAAAAATATTTTTGATGCCTACAGTTTGATTGGAGCTGTGTGGCTGAGGTGCTGAAGTCTGAGAATGTGGATGCATGTATGCAAAGGACTAGACAAACTTGGAGCAAGCAGAATCTCTCTCAATTCTATATTTCAGCTAGTTGCAAGGGAGGGGCTAGGAGTTTCTCAGAATTTTATCTCAGTATTGCTGGCTTTCTAGAGAGAAAGATCTTGCCCTGAATTTATTTGGTGTTACCAGGCTTGTAAAATAACATTTCATAGAATCATAGAATCCTT